GGCAGGCACAGGAGGATTCTGAGCTGCTGGTGCAGTACTGTGCACAGATTGCCATCACCTCAGAGGGTTTTGATTGGGAAAACCCCATATGGATTGTTCAGTTCATTGGTTTGAAGCTCTCTGTAGGGTTGAAGGGTTCCCATGCCTGCAGCAGTGTCAAATCAGCTGCAAGACCCAGGAAGTTTGGCAGAGTAGTTTTGCAGGCCTGGCTGGATTTACAGCATACACCCAGACGACCCAGTGATGTGTTCCCATTGGCAGGAGAGTTCCTCTGTCTGGTGCCAAATGTCAGAGCTGACCCAGAAAGATCCTGGAATCTGTGCTTGGAACCATTTGCATGTGCAGTAACACACAGGGAGTCTGAGAAGGTGGTATTGGGAGTTTTGAAGATGAGATGTCTTTTAATAACTGTGATTCTTGTAGCTCAACAAACCCCAGACACACAGGGAGTCTGAGAAGGTGGTATTGGGAGTTTTGAAGATGAGACATCTTTTAGTATCTTTGTGATTCTTGTACTCAACAAACCCCAGCTCAGTTAAGGCACAAGACTTCACTTCTAGGATCTTTCAGAGGAAGACATTTCCTGGGAATGTGGGCCCTCAGTCACAGCTGACAGGATTGGCTCTTACCTGCATCCCTTTGCTGTTTCCTGCAGACTGTGTATGCCAAGGACTGCCCTCTTGCAGAAGCCAAAGCTATCCAAGGGCTTCGGGCAGTTTTTGACGAGACCTACCCCGATCCTGTCCGTGTGGTTTCCATTGGCATCCCTGTGGAGGAGCTGCTGGCTGACCCCTCTGGCCCCGGGGGCTCCATCACCTCTATTGAGTTCTGTGGGGGAACGTGAGTACCTGGAGAGGCTGGGAAGGGAGCAGGGTGGCTGAGAGGAGTTCCTGTGGAGCTTGAGCTCCTGGGAGTGTCATGAGCATACCCTGGGCAGAGCCAGGGCAGAGATGGAGGCGGTGGTGATGATGTGCCTTTGCATTCCCATTCCTGAGTCAATCAGTCTTTAAAATTACCTTTTGCAGGCAGAAAACTGCCTGTATTGCCCCTGCCCTCATGCAGGGTCTCTGGCACTGCAGGGAGCACAGGTCTTGCCACCCTTTCCTCACGCATTTGCTTTCAGCACTCGTTGTTTTTTCTGCCTGTCCCACACTGCTGCATTTCCCTGGCAGGATGGCTGTCTTATTTCTTTGCTGATTCTTGCTGAGATGAGAAGTGGACTTCTAACTCTTTCTTTTGGGTCTGTCTGGGTTCTTTCCAAAGGCACTTGCAGAACTCCAGCCATGCTGGCCCCTTTGTGATTGTTTCAGAAGAAGCAATTGCTAAAGGCATTCGGAGGATAGTTGCAGTCACCGGGGCTGAAGCTCGGAAGGTAAGGGTAGGCAGGAGAGATCCTCTGTGAAATTCCACCTATTAACCCTGTGCCAAAGTTCATTTTGTTCAAATTTGCACAATATCCTCTGAGGGACTAATGGAAAAGTGTGCTGCTGTTGCCAAAGACTGTTCTGGAGACCCTGGCTTACTACAGTTGGAGCAGGGAAGAGAGAGGGAAGTCTCAGCTGTAGATGTTGTGGCAGAGAAACCTGGGTGGGTGTGTGGAATGCCCTCAGGGTTAGCTCAGGTTGCTTTTCAAAGTGGCTTCCAATGTAGAGCTCTCAGCAGCTGGCAGGGCCAGCAGGAGAGTGGTGAAGTCTGAGAATCCAGTCCTCTGCCGCAGGAGGCAATGACTGTAGGGAGCACTAGCCCACATCCAAAGTGGGAGAAAGGGGTTTCTTGGGGGAGATGATTTCTCTTTTGGTGGGATCTTGGAAATCCTGGCAAAGGAAAGAGACCTGGAGCCCATATGGCAGCATCACACCCTCATTCTGGCCAGGTGCTGCCTGCTTTGGTCCTGTGGCTTTCCAAGAGTTACTAAGCTCCATTCTGGGGCATTCCAGCATTGCTCACCTCTTTGCACTCTGGGGTGACCAAAAGCCCAGCCTGCTTAATCTTCCAGCTTGATTTAACTCGGATTGTATCCTCCTAGGCCCTCAGGAAAGTCGACAGCCTCAGGAAAGTGCTGTCAGCCCTGGAGGCCAAGGTGAAGGTCCAGACAGCTCCCAACAAAGACGTGCAGAAGGAGATCACGGATCTCAGTGAGGTGAGGATGGTAGCAGTTCTCTGCCTCCCCACAGTGAAAGGGACCTGGATTGCCAGAACTGGGTATTAATGAGACCTGAGTTCACCTTCCTGTTACTGTCCAGCAGCCCTGCATCCCATGGGTGCTGCAGCCAGCACCTGTTTCCTCAGGTCATTGGCACTGGGAGCAGAGTGGAGCTTACTGGGCTGTGCCAGCTGAGGCAGAGTTCATGAGGTGCTGCATCTCCTGCCATGACTGCTGGCACCTTTAACCTTTTCTACCTGCTCCTCTTTTGCAGACACTGGCCACTGCTGTTATCCCACAGTGGCAGAAGGATGAGCTGAGAGAGGCTGTTAAAGCACTGAAGAAGGTCATGGATGACCTGGACCGAGCAAGCAAAGCTGACATCCAGAAAAGAGTGAGCTGTGGGCTGGAATAAAGGACAGTGTGGGAGGGTTGTGGGGAGCTGTGTTAGTATCCAGGATGGAAGAGAATTGACGTGTGGGAGTGCCCCTCACACTGTTCAGCCTTCTAGCTTCTCCTGCTGCCTCCTGAAGCAGAATTACCTCTGTGCCTCTTTTCTGGGTTGAAGCATGGCAGCCTGTTCCTGCCCTACCAGTGCCCCTGGGTGCAGGCTTCCTCCTGGATCCCACTGGAGTTTTCTGGATGAGGAATCATGCATGACATGCTGTCTTGCAGGCCACACACCTGCCTGTCAGAGTACACTCCTCCTGGCTTCATAGTGTGAGGCTGCTCCAGGCTGGGCTGTGGGTGTGTCTGGGCACCTCTGTCCCTGCTCTACCCAGGTGGTTCTTCTGTCCATACACAGTGTGGATGGTTTAGTGGCTGACCACTGTTGTCCTCAGGTACTGGAGAAGACCAAGCAAGTTATTGAGAGTCACCCTAACCAGCCATGGGTCATCATGGAAATGGAAAATGGAGCCTCAGCAAAGGTATGGAAAAGTCTGATCTGTCCTCAGCAACCTTCCTTCTGCCTGAGGAGCAGCTGGGTGGTCTTTCAGCACTTGGGGAGGTGGTTCAGTGCTACAGAGCTGTCCCTCTTGCCACCTGCCATCCCTGAGCAGGGGAAGGGACCACTGGGATAGTCTCTTGTGTCCCACCTCCTGGACAGGCACATGGGCTTGCAGGGATGATGGGGTTTTGAACACTTGCTGAGTTTCCAGACATGCTGGTGGATAGGGAGCCCAGCAGAAACCCATTGTGTCCCAGGTAAGACTCATCCTGCTGCAGTCATGACACTGAAATGCACTTAAGGAACTGAGAGCAGCAGCTCTGCTGAGCCATGACAGTCATGATGCTTGTGGCCCCTGCAGATCAGCTCCAGCAGTGGTGTCCTGGGTTGAGTGTGGACAGGGCCAGGCAGAGAGCTGCTCCCAGCACTGTCTGCTCAGCTGGGTTCAAGTTCTTCCCTGGCCAGGGCTGAATCTGCTCCTTCTGTCCCAGGGCTGAATCTTCTCCTTCACTCCTCCACACACAAGTTTTTTCCCAAGTGATTTCTGTTGGAATGAATGCTCTGTTGTGTGTGTTGTGTCACAGTGCTGAGCCCAGTAAATGATAGGCAGTGGGAGCTGGTTGCGCCTGGGCTTGGACCTCTCTGGGCTAATGTTCTGTTAAAATTTCCGCTCTGAGAGTCTTGAAGCTGATCCTGCTCACTCTCTGTGGCCACCAGCATCACCATGATACCCACACTTCTGCTCCCAGTGGGTGCTGTGGCAGCATTTTCCCTGGCAGAAGGGTGCATCCCATGGGATAGCAGTGCTGGAGCCCAGGGAGCTGCATGTTCCAAATCCTCCCAGAGCAGCACTGCTTTGCTCACCAAAGGACCTGGGGCTCTGTGCTGTCTGTGTGAGTGAGGGATGATGGTCTCCTTGAGAATAATAGAATGTGTGGCAGTCTCCCTGGTTCTTCCCTGCCTGCTGTGTCTGATAATCCTTGCAGGCTCTTCATGTTGTGTTTGAGTACTCTTGACTCCCTTTGGAACAGCTGTTCCCTTCTGCTGGGAGGAGCTTTTTCCCCTCCAGCTAGCACACTCAGGCAAAGGTTTATTCTGGGGCTGATTTTGCCAATTGCTGTATTCCTCAAGGTGGGGAAATAAAAGCATCTTCTCTATGGTTGCTGTTGGGGCTGGAGCTGGGCTGGGTGCAAGTGCAGGGAGGCAGTCATATAATGATTTTGTTCTCTTCCAGGCCCTGAATGAATCTCTGAAGCTCTTCAAGACTAATTCCCCCCAGACTGCTGCTATGCTCTTTGCTGTGGATAATGAAGCTGGCAGGATCACCTGCCTGTGTCAAGTACCCCAGGTAATGCCAAGACTGTGTGGCTGCCTCTCCCTGAGCCTCCATGGAGGAGCTGCAGCCTCCAGGCAGGAACTATCTAACATTACACAGCCAGAACTGATTGGAGCTTGGCAAGAGCCACAGCCTTTGTGCTTGGGCTTATTGTCAGGCTGCAGAAGTGAGGGAAGAGGGGTTATGCTCTGCAAACGGGGAAGGGGAAGAGTCAGGACTTAATGGGGTGGTGGGCACAGGGCAGGGCAATTGCTGTTCGGTGTTGACCGCTGGGTTTCTTTTCCTGCCCAGGAGACTGCAAATAAGGGCCTGAAGGCCAGCCAGTGGGTGCAGGAAGTGTCTGGCTTGATGGACGGCAAAGGCGGTGGAAAGGACATCTCTGCACAGGCCACAGGCAAGAATGTGGGCTGCCTGCAGGAAGCCCTGAAACTGGCCACGGACTTTGCCAGGCTCCGCCTGGGGGAGCTGAAGAACTGACTGCGGGGGGAACCCCGGTCCCTGTGTCTCCCTCTCTGTTCCCTGCGCAGCTTTCCTGTAATAAAGGCTCCCTGCCCCGCGCTCTGCTCCCCGGCTCTGGAGGCGGGGCGGGACGGGTGGGTGGAACCCGCTGCCAGTCACGGCTTTTCCCTGGAGCCCGCCTCCCGCTCGGGCCCGCCCCGCCGCCGCCCTCTCACGGCGCCCGCCGAACATGCCGCTGGATCACCGCCGCCTGTGCGGCCCGGAGGAGTCGCAGCCGCCCGCGCTGTGGGCAGCGGCCGAGGATGAGGAGGACGAGGAGGGCGCGGGGAAGGCGCCGCGGGACCCCTGTGCCCTGCGGCCGCTGTTCGCGCGGGCCGGGCTGCTGAGCCAGGCGCAGGGCTCGGCCTACGTGGAGCTGGGCAGCGGCACCAAGGTGCTCTGCGCCGCCTGGGGCCCGCGGGACGCGGCCGAGCCCGGCCCGGGCCGGCTGATCTGCGAGTTCCGCCGGGGACGCGGGCGTGGAGATGTACGACCTGGCCGTGGGCTGCGCGCTGTGCCGGCCGCCCGCGCCCGCCGCCTCATGGATGCTGCAGCCCGCCGAGCCCGAGGAGCGCCGCGCCGCCGCCCGCCTCACGCTGGCCCTGCTGCCCGCCCTCAACCAGGTGTCGGCCGTGCTGGGCGGCGGCCGCGGCGGCCCGCCCGAGGACTGGGCGCAAGCCCTGCGGCTCGGCCTCGATGGCTGCCACCGGCAGTACCCGGTGCTGCGGCAGAGCCTGCTGCGGGCCGCGCAGCGCCGCGATGCCGCCGCCGCTGCCACCGCCGCCGCCGCCGCCGCCACCAGTGCCTGAGTGCCCGTGAGAGCTGCGCGCCCCAGCCTGGGGATGGGGCATGTCCCAGAGCCCGCCCCAGCTGCTTTCAGTGCTGCCGGAGACCCCTGGAGCCTGCCTGATCCACACATCACTGTTGGGGATTAAAATAAGTTTACTTTTAGAGTTTTAAAAGTTTATTAAGTTTAATTGTAACTGCTGGTGAACCTCCAGACCCAGCCTGATCCATGCCTCACGCTGCTGGAGACTGGATGAGCCATCCTTTGCGCTGCTGGAGACCCCTCGTGTTGCCCACACAGCTGGAGGCCCAAGAACTGTGCCCGAGGACACGGGAATCTGCACCCCCCACGCACTGCCCAAGCACCCCAGAGTGCACCTGAGAAGCCCTCGTGTTGCAGAAGATCATTTTCAACTGGCGCCATGGGACCCAAACAGCCTTGCACACTGCTGAAGCCCTCCAAGAACAACCTCCATACTGCCTCAGCAGCCAGAGCCTGCCCGAGACCTCCCTCCAAGCAATTGCTGGTACTCTGGGACCCCACATCTCCACCCGGGGTTCACAGCACCAGGCTGAAAACCTCACTCCGAGCTCCCCACCATATCCATCTGTGCAGGCAGCACCAGGCAGGAACCAGTCATGGCATGGACTGTGCATCCCTTGGACTTCTTGCCCAGGCAGTGGGCAAGAGTTGTGTTTTGTTAGTTTTTTCATAATAATAAATCGTATTTTTTCTGGTGAGTCTTCTGCCTGCATGGCCCTCCTGAGGCCTCTGCCAGCCATGGGCAGAGGTGGAAAGATGTGCTTCTACATTTGGGGTCACCCCTTCTGCTCCCACTGTTCTTGAGGAGTTTGGAGGGAGCGGGGTGCCTGCTTGGAGTCTGATTATTCCTGGGGATGGAATGGAGCAGGTGGTCTTGTCTGCCAGGCTGCACCATGGTGGGCTGGTAGGGAATATTCTGCATATTTTCCATTGGGATACAGGGCAGAGCTGCACTCGTATCTCTAGGTTGAGCTGTAGGTTGAGCTGTATCTCTAGGTTCAGCTCCTCATCCCCTGTACAAGTGAGCTGTGCAGAGATCCTCCTGAGCCATGGTCCAGGCTTTGCACTCGTATCTGTAGGTTGAGCTTTCCTGGGAAAGGCAGCATCCAAGAAAGCACTCAAAGCTGGGGGTTGTGTCTGGCAGCACATAAAATGGGGTACAAAACTGTGCACTTCAGGCAGTTAAAAACTGCATTGGACTTGAATAACCAGCGAAAAGAAATACAAATTATTTTTCTTTCCAATACAATACACTCTTTTCTCAGAGCAAATTAGAAATACAGAACAAGTTCTTACCAGTGAGAGAAGGATGACTGAGAAATGAGGGACATGGAACTGAAATGTGACATGGGGAGCACAGGGGTGACCAGGACTCTGGGTGCAGGCCAGGGTCCCTCATAAAGCTCTTACTAGAGTCCTGCTGGCTGCAGATGCCTGACTGAGAACAGCCTGTGAAAAACCAGTAAGGAAAACGCATTTGGGAGCTGGGGCAAATGGAAGTGATTGGGTTGGCATTGCCCCACTGCTGGTGCTGCAGGTCACATCAGAGCTAGGCTTGGCACCATCCCAAAATCCCACAGAAGCTTCCTAAAGCTGGCTTTAGGAAGCTGGCTGGCGTGGTTCCTTCTTCCTGTGGTGGGATGCTGAGCAGCTCTGAAAGCCTTCCTGGGCTGTACCCATGCCTGCTGCACCAATTCCCAGGGTATTGGTAGAATATTCCTGTCCTGGTGGAGTAGTTGTAAGGGCAATAATGCATGGGGGAACATCCCAGTACTTGGAGGATATTCCTGTCCTTGGGGGGGTATTAGCAAGGGGGCATCCCAGTACTGAGGCTGGCCTTGGCTCCAGCAACCCCAGAACCCACTCCAGACATAAAACTGGAGGTTCCATCCAGTGCAGGCAGGATGTGGACAATGGCTAAGGAAAGTCTGATGGGCTTAGGGGAGGAAAAGGAAACAAATTGCTCTTCCCAAAGGAGAGAGGGTCTTTATTAATGACCAGGCAGATGATGAAGGACCAGGTGAGGGTGAGAAACCCACCCAGCTGCAGTGTTCTCACCCAGGTCAGGACAATGGCTCAGAGCTGAGCCTGGTCCTGCCTGAGCTATGCCAAGGCCTGCAACCCCAAAGAGCCCCTTGGCCTCTCATAACACTGGGACCACAGTCCAGACACAGCCCAGCTGCCAGTTTTGGAGGAGGATGCTTTTGCACCTGGCTGCCCACGGTGTTGCAGAGTGATAGTGACAGAGGCAGGTGAGGGGCAGAAGAAGATGCTGTGTCAGGGATGCTAACGTACAGCACACCCCTTCTTGCCAGGTCCCAGTGCCATGGGTCCCCTCAGCTCCTCATCCCCTGTACAAGTGAGCTGTGCAGAGATCCTCCTGAGCCATGGTCCAGGCTTTGCACAGCACCAGGCTCCTCCTGAGCCCCAGGTTCAGCACAGCAGCCAGCGCCGGCCACTTCCCAGGGCCACCAGCTCAGGGGTCCCGCTACCACAGGGCGATGTGTTCCTGGGCTGCAATGGCGTGCGTAGAGTCAGTGCCTCCCACCCCAGGACAGACACAGAGGTCTGGGCAGGGCTGGCAGCAAGGGACAGGCACAGCAGAGCAGGGGACTGGCACCTCCAGGGCCCAGCATGCCCAGGAGGGCTGGCAGCCGCTCACTCACCGAACTGGCAGATGTACCGGTTGCGGGTCTTGCAGCGCTGGTCGTTCCAGTTGAAGGCGGCTGACGCTTGCATCTCCACACAGTTCCCAAACCTGTGTCCCACCAGGATGGTGGTGAAGCCAGTCAGCAGTGACACCATGCAGAGTTTGGTGTCCTCTAGACCCACTTACCCCTGGTTGTCCGGCTGCCCGAAAGCGAAGCTGGTGAACGAGGACGGCTCACCCACATCCCAGCGGAAGGAAGCCTTGGATGTCTTGTAGGTGAGACCTGGGGAAGCAGGACCTGGGTTGGCATGTCTGCCAGCACCCCAGGCACACTGCACCCTGCCTACTGCTGTCTCTCACCGATCCAGAAGTTTCCAGTCTCAAAATCAGTGTCTGTCACCCTGTTACCCATCTCCAAGCGGCTGAGGTAGAAAGCCAGGATGTCCTGAACCTTCTGGTTTCTTATCTGGGCCAGCATTGCTCCTTTCTCCTGTGGGGAAGCGAGTGAGTCTGCCCCACCTGCGTGGCTCAGCACTGCTCCAGGCAGAGGAGAGATGCCCAGAGGGACTTTTCAGCTGCCCAGAGATGCTCGGAGCACCCCAGGAGTTCACCTGGCATTTAATTTTGGCTCCATAGTAGGTGTCGGCTTCAGGGGATACCATGAAGCAGTCGCTGTCTATCCGCACGTCACAGGCATGGAAGGGGAAATGGATCTTTGCTGGGAACACAGGCAGGAGCAGGTGGGTCCTTGTGCCAGCAGAGATGGGCCCACAGAGGACCCTTTGCCCCACTTTGGGGCGCCCTGCCTGCGGATCACAGACTCACTGCCGCACTCAGCTCCTCCGTAGCCCGCATCGCAGAGGCAGGAGCACTCCTCCTTCCTGAACTTCCCGTGGAGGCACTGCCCGCTGCACCTCACTGTGGGCACAGCCCTGCATTAGCTGCCAGGGGGCTCGGCAGCCCTGCTCACACCAGCTGTGCCCATGCATGCCCTGCAGCAGCCACGCACAGGCCTCTGAAGGCTGCACGGTGCCCTCTCACCTTGGCAGTACCTGCCCGTGTAGCCGGGGGGACAGGTGCACTGGCAGCTGCTCATGTCGAGGCGCCCACTGTTCCTGCAGCTCATGCGACAGGGGTTCCTGGGCACCTCTGGAAGCACCAGAGTGACAGAGGGGCATCAGGGGTGGAGGCAGCATCTCCAGGGTCATGCAGAGGCCATGGTGACAGGGGGCACTCACCGCAGAGCCCGCCGCTGTGGTCCCAGGACTTGAAGCAGCCAGAGAGGCCAGCGGTGCAGAGGGAGCACCAGGGTCCCTGCTTGTAGGGCAGGATGGGCGTCCCGGCCACCTCCCAGTTGCCCCTGGCCCCACAGACAGCTGGAGGAAGATACCCTACCCACCCGGGCAAGCCACACCCCTTTCTGGGGCGAGACCTCACCCACTTTGCGAAGCCACATCCATTCCTAAATCACTGTCCTGCCTTCGTTACCCAGCACTGGGTCCACAGCACTCAGCCCAGCCCAGAACATCCCAACCCTCCCGCTTCTAAAACACGGCCCTATTTGCATTTCCAAGCCCCACCCACATCACCCAGCCCCACCCACTTCAGCGCGCAGTCCCACCCAGCACCGGGACCAGCTCCCCCTCCCCTGCCGCACATCCCATGGGTCAACCCATGCCCCTCCCTGCTTGAGACCCCACCCACACCGCTAAGCCACTCCCATTTCATCAAGCCCCGCCCTCTCAGCCACACCCACCACACCCTGACCCCTCCTCTCAGCCACACCCACCACACCCAGAGCCCTCCCTCCCAGCCACACCTCGGCCCCGCCCTCTCAGCCACACCCACCACGCCCTGCCCCGCCCTTAGCCCCTTACCCCGGTGAGTAGGCGCACACGAAGGCCTCGCTGGGGCCCTGGGGGCCGGGGCAGCGGTGCCGGCCGCAGCCCAGCTGCCCCGCTGTGGCCCACACCAGCTGTGGGAGAGCGTGTGTCACTGGGGTCCCGGCCCCCAGCAGCCCCCCCGTGCCCCTGGTGCCCACCTGGGTGTAGTGGCGGCAGGTGGCATTGCCGGCGCAGCGCCCCGTCCGGTGGTCGTAGCGCTGTCCCTCGGCAAACCAGAGCTGCAGCACGGCCCCGAAGCCTCCCCCGGCCGCGGGCAGCAGCGCCTCGCTCCAGCCCAGCTGCGGGGCTGGCGGCGGCGCGGGGCCCTCCAGGCAGCTGGCTGCCCGTGCCCCCGCACGCCGCCCCAGCTCCTCGCTCCACTCCTGCGGGGATGAGCCTGAGCCACCCAGGGGACAGCCCCAGGGGGCATGGGGACCACCAAATGGTCAGTCCAGGAGGTGACTGGGGGATAACAGAGGGTGGACGATGGGTGATGCTGCAAAGGAGCCCTAGGGACCTGTCCTGCCTCTGGTGTGGGCAGCTGGGGGGTGATGGAGGGACACTGAGGGCCACCACAGGACATGGAGACATGCCTAGGGACCAGCCCTGCCTTTGGTGTGTTCAGGTGTGAGGTGGTCAGGGAATATCAAGGGCCATCATGGGGAATGGGGGAGCCCACAAAGGACTCCAAAGAGCCCTGCTGTGTCTTTGGGTGATTAGGAGGCATCAGAGGGACATGGGGGACACCAAAAGGCACCTCAAGGGATCAGCCCTGTTTTTGGTGTGCCCTGGATGTGGCAGTGACATGCTCTTCCCCAGGGGCCCCACACCAGCCAGCTCTTCTGCTTCATTAGCGTGTTAGCAAGCTACTGTGTATCACCCATGGCTGCCCACCTCCCTGGGCACGGGCAGGAAGGTGGATGTGACATCGAAGGTGGGGGACACGGGACCTGCAAGGGGGCTCACCAGCTTCTGCATGTTGGCAGCAGGGGGCTGCACTTTACTCCTCAACTTGTTGTGCAGCGAGAGCACCAGGAAGGTTTCCTTCGTGCTGAGAGCTGGGGGGACAGCAGGGGATGGGGAAGGGGCCAAGGGGGCTGAGAGGTACAAGTGCCCTCCCAATATCCCTGGCTGTGGCCGGACCCTTCAGAGGGCCGTGGGAATT